CATCGGCCGCGGGCGCCCCCCCCCCCCCCCCCCCCCCCCCCCCCCCGCCCCCTCCCCCCCCCCCCCCCTCCCCCTCACGCTGGTGGAAAATTCTCCCCCCCGCCCGGGCGCCCGCGCGCGCACAGCACATGTGCCCCCGGGGGGGCGCGCGCGGCAGGGCGCCGGCCTGCCAGCGGAACAGCCTGGAAAGCACCACATGGGCGCGGCCGGGCGCGCGAGGCGGGCCGGGCGAAAAAAAGAGAAAGTGCCCACTGGGTGGATTGAACACCCGGCCTTCGCTTTACGAGAGCGACGCTCTACCACTGAGCTAAGAGGGCTTCCTCGTATCCTTCGCCCCCGAAGGGGGGCCTATATTCCACTGCACGTGGGCCGGGTGCCGGCGTGTCGCCGCGGCTGCTCGGCCGAGTGTGAGGGAGGGGCGCGCGTGGGCGCAAAAAAAGGAGAGGCGAGGGCCCACCCGGGGTTGATCCGGGGACCTGTCGATCTGCAGTCGACCGCTCTACCACTGAGCTATAGACCCGTGTCGCTGATCCCCTCCACGATCCTCACCCTGATATCCCCTCGTGCGTGGCACCCGCTCTCCGCCCCGACGACCTGACGACCGGCCACCGCCACTGCTGCCAAAAGCGCCTCCCCTCCGGTCGCCGTCCTTCCTTGCAGGGCCGACAGACGTGACGCCGCCAGGTCACAACCGCACACACACACACACGGACACACACGGACACACGGACACACGGACACACACACACCTCACAGGACTACACGTCCGCGCCTGCTACTGCCCCGCCGCCCGCCTGGCGCGATATGCTCGGGAACGGTTGTCTGACCACACTCGGGCCCGGGATCTGCCCATGCCCTGCCTGCTGGGGCGCGTCGGGTCGAGAGCTGGCCATCTCCGGCCTGACCACACCCCTCTCCGCCCCTCCCCGGGCCGGGCTGTCTCGGCAGAGTGGGCTTCCGCGCCTCCGGAAGCACCAGCACCCTGAAGAGCGGTCGCCCTTCTCCCCCCGGTGTCGGTGTGATTCCTCCCGCCCGCCCAGACGCCGGCACCGTGCCGCGAGACAGTGTGACCCGGTTCCGGATGGCCCTACCCCGAGAGGACGCCGCGCGCCGGGGGCCCTGTCGGCTTTCTTCGCTGCCGGCCCCCCTCCGCATGGCGCTCCTCTCAGACCGGGGCCGACCTCGGGGCGCGGCCCGAGGGCATCCTCCGCGCCGGTGGGCGCCGAGCGAGCGGGCCGGAGCACTTCGACGAGAAAAATGCCCTCGCCCGGGGGCCGGCCCCCAGTGAGGCGGGTCTATAGCTCAGTGGTAGAGCGGTCGACTGCAGATCGACAGGTCCCCGGATCAACCCCGGGTGGGCCCTCACACGCACGCATTCCCTTTTGGCGCGCTGCCCACCCCCCGGCGCCGCCTCTCCCCTTGCCACTCTGCTTGCTGCGCGCCTGAATGCGCATTTTGCCACCTTCGCCTGTTGTAGTCGCCACCGTGGGTTTCTCCTTCTCCCCGTGCCGGGCCGCCGCTGCTTTACCCGGTGGCTGGCACAAAAGCACCCGGTGCTGGCGGCCGCGCCGCACCCCCACCCCCTTTTCCAAGGTGGGTCCCCGGGGCGCAGGGCGACCGGGGGGAGGGGCGGCTCCTTGGTTCTCGCACCGGCGGCGAGTCACCTTGCCACTCGGCCGACACCCTTCCGGCCGGCGGGGCGCGGGGAAGAGGCTCGCGCACGCTTCTCGCTGGCCCGGTGCACACTGCGCCGAACCCGCCAGATGCCCGGGGCCGGGACCGGGTGCGAGCCAAGAAGTGACTTCATTCTGCGGCAGGTGTCCCCCTGGGGCCGGGGCCGTCCGGCAGGGGGCCTCGCATTTGGTGGCCTCCCGGGGGCCCTCTCTCTCTCTCTCTCTCTCTCTCTCTCTCTCTCTCTCTCTCTCTCTCTCTCTCTCTCTCTCTCTCTCTCTCTCTCTCGCAACGAGCACCTGCCCTGCCAGAGGTGTCCCGGGGAAAGGGCAACAAGCATAGGCGCTTGCGGCGGAGTAGGCGGGCAGCGACGCGGGTCTATAGCTCAGTGGTAGAGCGGTCGACTGCAGATCGACAGGTCCCCGGATCAACCCCGGGTGGGCCCTCGCTCTTCCTTTTGCCCGCGCGCGCTGATGGCGGGCCACGCGCCCCGGACCAAAAAGAGGGGAGGCCAGCGCGCGCGCGCCAGGCAGGGGGGCGCCCCATGCGTGGATCCACTCGGGATTGAACCGAGGACCTTGAGTTATGGTGCAAACGCTCTACCACTGAGCTATGGACCCGCGCGGGGGGAGGACCACGCGCGCATAAATCGCGCACCCGCGCGACGCGGGACCGGCGTGTGTTCCTTGCTGGGCCGGCGGATGCCCGCCTCCACCACAAGGCCGAGGGGAAGGGGAGTGATGTGGGATCTATATGGGGAGTGCATTTTTCTTTGCGACCGAGGACAGAGGAACAGCCCCCACGCCATGTCGGTCACAAGGGACGGAGGGGGGGAGGGGGGGGGGGGAAGCGGCGTCGCCCTGGGCCCGGTTACTGCTCGGTGGCGGCCGGCTGGCTGGTGCTCAGCTGGTAGCGAGTCTGGCGCCGGACGGCCGACTTGTGCAGTTTCTTGTACTCCTCGCTCAGTTCCGCACGCTTCTTGAACCACGCCTCGCGGATGCTTTCCCTGCACGAGCGAGCACAGTGAGGAAGAGACCATGGGCGATGGGGCGTGTGCGAGAGGGAGGGGGAGAGGGAGGGAGGGGGAGAGGGAGGGAGGGGGAGAGGGAGGGAG